TATGAGCTAGCTCAGTTTTTAAGCCTCCGGCTCACACATTTTTGCCTTTGCTCAGGAAGGATGGCTCCGGAGCAAACTAATTTACGCAGTAGCCAAATCGCTCGCTCACAACTTTAATGCCAGGAGCTCGCAAAGTAGAATTTTTGCTCACAAGACTCCGCAGCTCAGAGGGAGCGTTGATCCCAATGTTTGGACATTTATTTTTTTATTTATTTATTCGTATTTATATTCCACCCATCTTGATAACGGGCTCTGTAATGTATCCAGCCCTGACATTTCCGGACATGCCCGGACTGGCCAGGGACAAACCTCACTAGCTTCAAGCCAAAAGACAATGGGCCAGTAGGATCCTAGCCAGGCCCAATGAAAGGGCTAGGTCCCCAGCCGGAAGGCCAATAGGTCTCTCGGTTAGTGTAAATAGCCTATCGGGAGTGGGGTGTGTGTTTAGGTGTGCTTGGTGGCGGGTTTTCTGAACGAATATAAGCCGGCCTGCGAGCCGGTCAAGTGTCTTTGTTCCGAACTAAATAAAGGTATGCTTAGCTGAAATCACTCTCCGTCTGCATACTTTTCAGGCTCAGAGCAGGTTACATCATTCCCAATAAATGCAGCAGAATTTAAAAAACATGATATTTTAAAAAAACACATCCTTTTTAAAAAGACAGTATGCTCTTACTGAGGCTGTCGGTTATATAGTTAAGTGGCAAAGTGCAAACCGATCTGTCAAGGTCAGGAAAGAGGTTAGGTCTGGATCTGGCCTCAAGGGATGCTGGCTGTAATCTGCGTGCAGTGGCCATGTTTCATTCCAAAACGAGGGCCTTTTTTATTCAAAAGATTTGCCTTGCATTGCTGTTCCTCCTCATTCCAAAAATCTATGTTCCACTTCACACCACCGGCCACCTGTTTCACAGCTTATTACAGCTTCTACAGCTTATTACAGTGAACCATCCTTAAAGACGCATGTTTTTGCAGGTTGGTCACATTCTCTGTTCTTTACATTTAGGGAACTTCGTGTTAATTTGAGAGCTCATGAGCATCCCCAACTAAGAGGAACAGGTCATGGGTGATGCGAAAGACCTTTGCTGCCTGAGACCCTGGAGAGAGAGCTGCTGCCCGCCTGGGTTGAGAGTACAGACTTTGATGGACCAAGGATCCGAAGCAGTGTGTAAGGCAGCTTCGTAGCTTTTTCATACGTTTAATTATGAAATATGTGTTGGCATTTTAGTCTGCTTTGTGCGCCTGTTATGTGGAAAAGCCCCTGCTACGGGTCAGAACATTACCTGGTGGTGGAAAATGCTTCCTGCGGGACCGCCTTTCCCCATATGTGCCCCAGAGAGCACTACGGTCAGGGTCTCAAAATCGATTGACCCTCCCGGGCCTCAAAGATGCCAGGATCGCTACTGCCAGGGCTTTCTCGGTGGCGGCCCCATCCTGGTGGAATGAGCTCCCAGAGATCAGGGTCCTGCGGGATCTTTTACAGTTCCGCAGGGCCTGCAAGACGGAGGTCTTCCGCCACTATAGAGCCCTGGCCCTCAGTTTTGACACCTAGCCTGTGCCGCAGGAAGATCAGGAGCAGAATGACATGACAGTCAGCCATCTTGAATAACTAAATGACCATTACCAGCACTTTATAATCTGTACTGGCTACAATGGAATTGTATTAGCCGTAAAGGAATTGTTTTTATATGATTTTATGACTTTTAATTGTATTTATGCTTTGACTAGGAAAAAGGCCCATTGTGGAAATAAATACAACGGCCTGTAGAAAGAGGCTCTGGGCGGGTGCCCCAGCCTTGGACACTCAGTGTCAATTTGCTGTGGCGACCTCAGCAGGGTATAATGATACTGAGTCCACCATTTTCTCCAGAGGAACTGATCTCTGCTACCTAAAGAACAGTTGTAATTTTGAGTGATCTCCAGCCCTCACCTGGAGATTGGCAATGATGGTTCCCCAGAAGGGAATGGTTGGTTTGGAGGGTGGAGTCTATGGCTTTGTACCTATTCGAGGTCCCATGCCTCCTGAAACCTCACTCTCTCCAGCCTCCATCCCTCAATTCTCCAGGAACTTCCCACCTGGAGTTGGCAACCCTATCTCCTTCCCAGCCAATCATCCACCTACCTTTATTTCTCCCTCACTCTTCAGCTTTCCACCCCCCACACACCTGCAGCCTCTCCCGTGCTCTGAAGCCCTGAGTGCTACGTCACATTGGCTGTCATACAGGGGCCACCTCAGCAGCATATAAGGATACAGAGCCCACCATTTTCTCCAGGGGAACTGATCTCTGCCATCTGGAAAGCAGTTGTAATTCTGAGTGATCTCCAGCCCTCACCTGGAGATTGGACACATTTTACCTCAGAACAGAAAACTGTTTAGAATGTTAGAGGCAGAAGCCAATCAAGACGCATATGCAAACGACCTCTGTGTTCTGAGACAGAGGCCAATGAGGCTGCATATGCAAATAACCTCTGTGTTCTGACTGGCTATGGGAGGGGAGAGGAAGAGCAAAATGTTTAGAATGTTGGAGGCAGGACTCAGGCAAAGCAGCCGGTGGATAGGGAGACCCTCTGAATGACAGATCAGAGAGCGAACTGATTTTGGAGAGTGTGGAATGTTCTAGAGAAGTGCCACCACCATTCGGCTTTTATTTATAAGGGAGATTGTTAGCTGCCCTGAGCCCGCATTGTGGGGAGGGCGCGGTATAAATGAGATCGGTAAATAAATAAATAAGTCACAGCTGAGGTACGGCATCCCTGTAGAGTTTTCAAGGCAAAAGAGGGACATGGGGTTTGCCATTGCCTGCCTCTGCGTAGCAACCCTGGCCAGTGTTGGTGTCGTGGTTAAGTGCGTGGATGCTAATCTGGGAGAACCGGGTTTGATTCCCCCACTCCTCCACTTGCACCTGGCTGGATGACCTTGGGCAAGTCAGGGCTGTTCTTGAAAAAAAAGAGCGGCTTCTGTCAGAGCTCTCTCAGCCCCACCCACCTCACAGGGTGTCTGTTGTGGGGAGGGGAAAGGAAGGGAAAGACGTTTGTCAGCCGCTCTGACTCCCTTGGGGGTAGTGAAGGGAGGGGTGTAAACCCAATCTCTTCTTCTTCTTCTTGCTGGTCTCTCCTCCAAGGACTGACCAGGGCGGACCCTGCTTAAGGTTCTGAGATCTGACCAGGCTAGCCTGGGCCATCGAGGTCAAGGCGAGAGACAGAGGTGGTTGGCCGTCGCCTGCCTCTGTGTAGCAACCCTGGACTTCCTTGCTGGTCTGCCACCCAAGAACCGACCAGGTCAGGGCCAGAATATCACACAGCTCCCCCCGAAATACTTTTTACATGCTCAGTTTGCTCTGAAATTGCACTGCACCGTCTGCTTGAAGAGAGCCAGTGTGGTGGAGTGGTTAGGAGCCTCTGGAGAGTTGGGTTTTATTCCCCACACCTCCTCGTCCACATGAAGCCTGCTGCTGGATGACCTTGGGCCAGTCCAAGTTCTCTCAGAGCTCGCTCAGCCCCACCTACCTCATAGGGTGCCTGTTGCAGGGGGAGGAAGGGAAGGCAGTTGTAAGCTGCTCTGAGGCTCCTTAAGGTAGAGAAAAGGGGGGTATAAAAATCTCCTCCTCTTCTTCACTCTTTGTAGCTTTAGTTTTTTAAAAAAATAAATCTTTCACGTATATTTTAGACACCCTGACGAAGCAGATTGTGAAATGAGTTAGGATTTTTGTGTGGAATATAATAAAAGAGTCGCTTAGTGGTTCCGGGCCCCCGAGAGATACGCTATGCCGCGACAAGGGCAAGATCCTTCTCAGTGGCGGCCCCTACCTGGTGGAATGAGCTCCCGGAGGAGATCAGGGCCCTGCGGGATCTTTTGCAGTTCCGCAGGGCCTGCAAGACGGAGCTCTTCCACCAGGCTTTTACGTAGGGGCCGCCACTTCCACCATCACCAACGAGGGAAAGACCACCAAGTTGGAGTGTCCTTGATAGCCATCTATATGACAGCAAGACCAGCCGTTTAGCTTGGACTATATTACCAGGATGATTCCATCATGATTAAAGTCTGCAGGGGCAATTCCCTGCAGGTGCCAACTGCAGACCATCTTGAAATTTAAAGCACTTTATTATTATTAATAGTATGTTGGTTGTGATTTGTGATTTTATCGGATTTTATAAATTTTATGTATGGGCTTATGCCTTTGTAAGCCGCCCTGAGCCCGCTCGCGGGGTAGGGCGGGGTAGAAATACCTGAATAAATAAATAAATAAATAAATAAAATACACCCCCCCACACACACACACGCCATTTTTTAATCTCTGCTTTTACTCTGGATTGGTGCTGCCCCCTCTCTGCCATTCGTAGCCGGTGCCGCCAGCAGCCCACGCATTTCCAATCCTGCCAGCGGTGCTTCTGGGAAGCACTGGGCACCCTCTTCGTTGTGCTCCAGAGGCTTGGCCAGAGCCAGCAGCCCTGGGTGATGCGGCCAAGAACACAAGCACCTGAGATGCGCCGTGCTACAGGCAGAGGGCAGCGTTCCTGCTTCCGGCAGATCCATCCAGGAGGCCCACAGATGTGGCGTGAAGGTGAGGGGGTACTGCCACTGAACATGGAGGTTCCATGGAGCGCTTTGGAAAGTTTGTGGAGCTGGTGCTGAGTACTGAATCCGTACCAATGGTCTGAGGTTTGGGATGAGCCCGTCAAAGAACACTTGAGCACTTGTGGGTCTGCTTCTTTATGTAGGGAGGGAGGAATGCGGTAGATGCCGAAGCCACAAACTCTCAATGGCAAGGCAGTATACATTTTGACAGCAGCAAATCTCCACGCTGCCGGACCTCATGAATGCGTGGCTGCCGCACGGTTGCGTCACAAATCCCTTCTTCACAGGCAATGCAACAGACCCCCTTCTCTCCCGGAGGCCGGCGGGGCACACGGGCCCTCCTCTGCGGCTGAAGTCAGCAGGCACCCAAGTCCGAGGTGCCCGTGCCGGAAGCGCCACTGCTCAAAGCTGCTCCGGTGAGGGACGGATGGAGGAAAGTGAGGCCTGGGGCCGGCCGCAGGGGGACCCCGGTGCCAGAGCCAGGAGGAGGAGCAGGCAAGAGAACCCCTCGCAGGAAGCTCGGGGGCCAGTCCTTGGGACCCCGACCCACGCCGGGCAGTTCAAGAGGGGAAGTTGAGGATTTCGTGGCGCAAGCACTGGCAGAGACTGTAGAGGATGCAGAGGATGAGGGTGGCGGGCACGAGGCTCACCAAGACGATGCCCAGGCTGAGGCGCTCCACCAGGAGGAGGTAGATGCCCAGGGGCAGGGAGCTGAAGTAGAGCAAGCAGAGGAGGCCCATGAGGAGGCGGCGGGGGAGAGCGGGGCAGGCGCTGCAGGCCTGGCACTTGGCCAGGGGGTCGGGGCAGGGCAGCGAGGCCACGCTGGGCGGGCGGTAGAGCCGCATCACGTCCAGGAGGCCCACCCCCTCGGGCGCCGCCAGGTCCTCGGGCACCTCCAGCAGGGTGACGACCAGGCAGTCGGAGGAGCCGTGCCGGCCCTCCCCAAAGGGCTCCAGGACGCCCGGGCACAGCAGCACCTCCGGGGAGAGGGGCGGCCGCCCCGGCCGGCGGGCCCGCTCCCGGCCGCTCAGCAGGGTGGCCAGCACTCGCCCGTCGTCCTGCAGGCGGCCCACGTCCCTCTCGGGCAGGAGGGTCTCCCGGCGGCAGAAGGGGCAGCTGAGGCGCCCGGGAGAGTCGCCCACGTCGGCCATGCGGCAGAGGCACCTGGCGCACACCCGGTGCTGGCAGGAGAGCAGCTTGGGCCGCCCGGCGCGGCTGTCGAAGGCCTCGTAGCAGATCTTGCACTCCCGCTCCGGGGTGGGGCGGGCCGGCGGCGGACCCCCCAGCTGGCCCCTGCAGAGGGACATGGCGGCGGCAGCGCAGGGGGGCGGCGGCCTGGCTGGGGAAGAAGAAGAAGGAGGAGAGACGGCTGAGGCGCCCCCCCCCGCCCCACCACT